CCGACACTTGCCTTACCTGCGTGGGTATCTGAAGAACACTCGCTAAGGCATTTGCTCTTCATCTAGGTGTTAGCAGGGTAGTGCAGTCAAACCCCACAGTTAACTATTCTAATCCCAGTGTTAATTTGGTGAGGTGGTTCATTTTTCTCTTGGTCTACATGACTCCCTAATTGAAATTTCTATCTCACAAAGGCAAAAGCTGGAGGAATTTCTGCCTTCTGCAATTGTAGGTAGGGGGACTCAACTGAGCCAAGGCTATTAATTTGAAGATTTCTCGGGTAAATCCTGAAACTCATGCTATCTAAAGCTAAATATGGGGGGAGGGGGCAGTAGGGAAGTGGGAAGAACAAGCGATAGGGGGAAGTGGCACTTACTGAGATGAGATCTGGGAAAACATTCCTTCAGTTGATTGCATTCAGGAGATAAAAACAGAAAGGAACCAAAATTGCCCTTATTTGCAGAGAAAATGGTCCCCTTAACTCTTCCGAAGTGGAGCGCTATGTAGGCCTAGATAGTAGGGGCACTGATTACTGAGCAGACAGGAACACTGCTCAGGTTTCTCATCATCTATATTTTCACTTCGATAAGTAGCTCCAATGAGTAAGTCTCATCCTCTGTCAGGAGTTTTGACTTTCAAAAGTAAAATATTGTCCAAGGAATCTAAACTTAATCTATAAAGATAGCCGTGATATAGCCCATTTCATAGTACGAAGGAGAGACGGCTATTGAAGACTAAATGTAATAACACACTCTATGAGAGGTATTTTCACTGCCGATGAGAAAGGAGTGTAAAGCTAATCTTTATAAATAACATGAATAGAGGGCACACATGTCTTCAGGCTAAAGAATTTTCTATCATTAAGTGTACATTGCTGAGGAAGTTTTTAAAAAATTGAGTTTGGCACTATTCCCTAGTCTCATCATTGCATTAGGTCACTAATACAAGCACGGGTTAATTATAACCCGAGGTTACTAAGCAAGGAGGAGTCGATTCCTGGTTTATACGAGCCTTAGTCTGTCTGCAAATATGCTATTTCTCCCCTTCCTCTCTTTCTTCTTCCCTTCTTTTTACTATCTTTTGTTCTTGGATAGTGTGTAACAACAAAAGCTGTCTCAAAAAATAAATAGTTCAGATGTAAAAATAAGAATAGAGTAACTTTTCTCCATATTACACTGTTTACTTTATTCTGCGGTCTAATACAGTAAGGTATTAAAAGAAAGAAAATTCAATAAGATTCACTTAACAAGGGTTTGGTATTTAAACTCAGTGGGAAAGTATTTGTCTAACATACATGAGGATCTGGTCCCTATGCCATAGACTGCATTTTTTTTTCAGTTAACAGATTTCTCAAAGTGGGAAGGTGGGGTTACCTATGCCTTTAATTATATCATGCAGAGGGAGAGGCAGGCTAATCTCTGTGAGGTCAAGGGCAGCCTGGTCTACATAGTGCACACCAAACCAGCCAGCACTACACAGTGATACCCTATATTAAGAACAGACTAGCCACACCAAAGTGTATTTGAACTGTCTATGGTAACCCTTGCTGTTTTCTACTTTCTAAAGTATTTATTGACTAATTATCTTCAGAGATACTTTCCACATTTGATAATTTCATATGCAGTTACACTCCTAATTCCTACACTATATCTATCAATGAGCCTGTCAGTTACAGACCTGGAGATTCGCCATTAGTTAAAATTAATTTACCATTGTGATGGTTAAATCTGATGGTCAACCTGACTGGATTAAGAAACGCCTAGAGCATTAAATGAACTATGCCTTTGGGTATGTCTGAAGAGGACTAACTGACTGGTTAAGACGTGACCTGAATGTGGGTGGCACCAATGTTTAGGCAGCGGTCCCTAAGTGAAATAAAAAGGGAGAAGAGAGAAAGAAGTGTGTTTGACTAATTTTTACACTCGTTCAAATGCATCAGGATCTGGACCATGCTATTCATTCCGCTGCTGAAAACAGACATAAAATAAATCAGTAGAGCCGGCTAATGAAACATGTACAAGTTCTGAAAGCCAGGCGAAAGCCAGAAATACAAACTATAAAATTGTCTCTTTATTTTCCTGGCTCCAAGGCAGTATTCTTCACAAGTGTCTACCAGTTATGAAGTGGTGAATACGAGCAGAACACAAGAAAATATTCTGCTCACTCAAACACCTTCACACGGGAAAGGATTGTTTTGAGAAGGCTAAAACTAGGCCTTCAGATTATTTTCTTCAAGCATTAGAAGATGGGTCTCGTGTGGTTTCACACACTTTAACAATTACCATGAAGAAAGCAATAGAGGGGCTGATACATAAAAGGTGTTCAAATATTGGAGTAAAATGAATGAATGAGTACATTATTAAATATGTTGTAAGTTAAATGTCTGTTTTAATACAGGGGTACTGTTGGTATATATGTTACTTCAGTATTTAAGAATTGCTTTTTCTCTTTTTATTATAGCAGTGGGACAAGTCACTAGGGTATTTGCTCATCAAGTTTATATATGAGCTGCATTTGACTTGTGGGAGTTTTCTAAGTACTATATCGTGTGTGTATGTGTGTGTGTGTGTGTGAGGGAGAGAGAGAGAGAGAGAGAGAGAGAGAGAGAGAGAGAGAGAGAGAGAGAGAGAGAGAGAGAGAGAGAGAGAGATGGGAAGGTATAAGCTTTTTATAAAGCCAGTACCAGATGTCTTTTCTTGGCAATTAAAAAAAATGCCATAACAGTTAAGTACATTTTCATGGTTCTACTTAGTACTCTTGACCATTAAGGATGACAAATACACAATGTTTCTCCAGAGCAAGAAAGCTGCATGGAGCCATTAATCCCTCTAGCCTCATTCACAGTTTCTCCAAGGGAGTTTATCTCCATCCGAGTTCAGTCCATCATCCAGGGTGGCATGCAATCTCATTCTTGCGTCTCCTGTCAGTAAAATCACTTAGATGAGAAACAAGCTGTTTGGGGGCATGTATTTTATCTTGCATTGTGAAGTAAAGAGTTAGAGGGGAAAAGAAGACAAAAAGACAAGAATTGGGCTTCCAGTATGTTCTAGTCTTCTAGAAGTTTTATATATCTGACCTCACTTAAAAGTCAAAGCAACCTTGTAAAATGCCCTTCCCTTACAGAAAAGGACCTGGCAAGTGTTTAGTGACCCCACTCCACCGCAAGCCAAGACACAGAACTAAAATGCAAACCCAAGATAACTTTAATCCAGAATATTCCTCTGCTCATTAGACTATATTGCACATTCAATTCACCATTTTATGTCCTAGGGTCAGAGCCCACTGGGATGTAAGCTCTTCAAAGAAAGTAACATGCATTTTTCTTTTCCCTTTTATCCATAGCATCTAGCTTTGTACCTAACATGTATCTCTGAAACTCGCGCAGATCTTGAATCTCCTGTCTTAACTTCCAGATTATCTGTGGTCATAGGCCTGTCACACAAGATCAGGTTAGCATATAGTATATCAGTCTCTGTCTGTCTCTCTCTTTCTACCGATCTACATATGCAACAGTAGTAATTAAAGAAGAAGGGGCTGGAGAGGTGGCTCAGTGGTTAAGGGAACTTGCTGCTCTAGTGGAGGACCTAGCTTCATACCTAGGACCTACATAGCAGTTCGCAACCACCTGTAACTCCAGTTCCAGGATCTCTGGCTCCCTCTTCTGGCTTCTGCAGGCATCAGGCATACATGTGGTGCACAGACATACATACAGGCAACATATCCATACGTATAAAATAAAAAACAAGAAATCTGAACCAATAAATAAAATAATCAAAGAAGTAAAAATAATTGGTGAGGGGGAGGGGGACACAGGAGGAGATGACAGAGGAGAAGGAGACAGGAAAGATAAATGAAGGTCTCAAAAATTATAAAATAAAGACAAAGAAAAATATAAATGTGGAGGGTATAAAGGACTGAACAAAGAAAGAAAGCCACAGAGAGCTAATGGTTCTCAATCTTCTTAACGCTGTGACCCTTTTTTAATACAGTTCCTCATGTTGTGGATCTCCAACCATAACATTAGTTTGTGGCCACTTCATAAATGTACTCTTGCTACTGTTATGAATCATAATGTAAATATCTGATATGTAGTCCCCAAAGGGGACCCACAGGTTGAGAACCACTGGTCTAGGGCAATTAAGCCACTTTCCACGAGCATGCATGCAAAGACTCAACAGGCTGTGTCAAGTATCTTCTATACTCTCCTCTTAGCTTACAAAGCTTGCACATCTTCAACATCACGGCTTAGGCTCCTAAGCATTCTACCCAGTTGACTCACTCTACAATTGCAAGCTAGTCCTCTTTGTGCAGCGCAGTGGAGATTAGGAACCATTAGCCTCCTCGAACAAGAGGACAGGACCACTTGTCTGTTGTGTTCAATTCCACATGCCTGGCACTTAACAAGATGTTCAGTTAATATTTGTGGAATAAATGAATATTTTCTTTTTGGGGTCAGTAATGAGAAAATTCCTCATAAATGATGTCATAACAGTATAGGTTACACTAAAAGCCCCAAAATGACCAAACATTTTGGCCAACTTGTGAAATGGTCCTCCTCTTTTCCCTCCCCTTCTTCTTTCTTCATCTTTAGTATTCATTTCATAGGGTTGTTGCAAGGAAAGAGAATTAATATATACAAATGCCTGTGCATGGTCAATGCACAGTTAACTCTCAATAATTGAGAGCATGATTACGATTGTTTCAAAGAGCACAAAAAATGGTCCACACGGTGACAAGTTGAAAAAAAAAAGCAAAGACAAAAAAATTCACCATATGCTTTATACTTGGAGAAATATCCCTTAATATGTTAACTCCGTATGGGCTTTAAAGCTAGTAAATTCTCTGAGAGCTACAGGTTACATTTGGATCATCAGCAATGCTTCCAGGTTTGTTTGGTGGGGATTTTTTTTTATGAAGTTACTAAAGGAAGGGGTGATTTGCTCAGTCTTTGGATATGACTAGTCCTCACATGTTGCTATAGATAGCGTTCACAGCAGATTACCTCTCCACAAGCTCTTCTCCGTTCCAGCACAGGCTATCATTTTCAGCGACGGGGCTGTGGCTGCAGACGTAGCCAGGCAAAGCACTGTAGAAGTTGATGAAAGTCTTCAGCTTCTGGACCAGTTCCCTGAATGGAAAACAAAACATCTATGCATCAGAGCAAGTAAGCACAGTATGAGAAAAGTTTAATTTCCTTATCAGCATGACAGAAAAGCTCTGCCAGGCTGATTAGAACAATAAATGATTTTTTTAAAACATTTTTAGCTACAAGGCCACAATTTAGCATTTTAAAAAAATCAATAAAAAAATACTGGGGTGGGAGAGGGTTGCCTTCCATAGAAGGTGCTGTCCCTATCAAGAGGATGATTTAATTCCAACATCCATTTTCTCACACACATTCGGCAGCTTCCTTTTTTTTTGTTGGTGTTGTTCAGAATGCTGTTACCTACATTCTCAAAGGTGCTGATTACGAGGCACACCGGCATACAACATATCTTTTGGTTTCTGAGTGTAATTGAGTGCGTTGATTGTAATTTACAAAGCTATTACCCTAGAGATGGCCCCTTTCCATAGAGGCTTTGGATAATGGCTGCAGATACAAATGGTAGGGTGCTCAGAATACTATAAGCTCTAGGAAATTCTCCTGATTATACAGTCAGGGAAACCCACTCGCATCTGCTAAGAGGAGGAAGGCTGCTTTGTTCTTTGTCTGTATATTGTTTTTCCTGTGAGGCAGAGCAAAGGGGAGAGGGCTTTACTAGCGTATATTATTATTTACTTGCTTTCATTTCTATGCTGTTTGTGATAAGAGAGCACATACAATATGCAAATGTGTAAAAACACAGATACAAATTATAGCAAGACTTTTTGCCTGCTATCTTGTTTCAGTTATACATGCATATACAACATAAGTTATCAGACCGAATACATGAATATGTTTATGAAACATTTAAATATTTCTATAATAGATATCCAATAATAAATTTAAAAAACACTGTATTTTCAAAGTGGTACCCTGATAGAAAGCAACATTGCTCTTCAGTCCTATACTGGTCAGGAAATTTTCTGACAGGAAATCAATTACTCAACAGTGTCTGCAGGCTAAGAATGGAGTGCCCTGACGCACAGGCATTTGGAGGAGCCACAAGTGTGACTGCCATTTGAGGGGTAGTGGACGTCATGAGCCCAGCAATGTCTTCTAGAGGTGTTCTCAGATCCAGCTGAAGTTGGAAGGCTGGTGGAAAGAAGGGTTGGTGGAAAGTTCATACCATTTTCTATTTACCATAGAACTATTATTTCATTTAATGTGTGTGTGTGTGTGTGTGTGTGTGTGTGTGTGTGTGTGTGAGAGAGAGAGAGAGAGAGAGAGAGAGAGAGAGAGAGAGAGAGAGAGAGAGATATCAGAAGAAATAGTTTTCAGTACATATTTACATAAGCTTAGGTCACAGGAAAGCAGGGATGATGGACAGAGCAACCAGAAAAGCTTATTGCCGCATATATAATGCCGGCCACCCCAATACTTGCTTCATGCTGTGTCCATGCTCACCTCCCAGCCTATGCCTGGCAGCTGAGCACTGTCAATCTCCAAAGAGAAGAGGCTCAATACAGAGCTCTGAAAATAAAAGTCAACATTACAGTTTCAAGAGGAGAAAGATGGGTTCAATTAACGGCTAGTAGGAGAGATGTTCTGTTTTACAAGGTAATAATCCAGTTCCCAAGAGTGGAAGCGGAAAGACTAAAGGCTGAAGCTGAGTAATTCCACCTACTCCACAAGGACATGGAAAGTGGGCATTAGTTTAGGGGAAATGATGGCCTTCGTTTTAATGAAAGAGTTTCCCTTAGGCATCCTCCTACCTCTATACACACTCTCATGAACATGGAACAGGGCAAGAAAAATGGGACCCATACAGAGGCCTTCCACTTTGATATCCCTATCAGTTAAAAACAAAGGGAACCGAAATTCCCCCCTACCTTTCAACCCTTGAGCTTTTTTCTGGCTGATCATAAAGACAACTGACAAGTTGAGAAAGAACCAAATGAGGTTCTACCTAATGTCTCAGGGACAAGGGACTACAATAAACCTAAGACTTCCTGCTCCAGGCTAGGAGAATACTGCTCGGGAAGGTCAAGATAACAACCTAGGGAACCTGCAAAGAATGTAGACAATATAACACAGTCTGGGGCATCCCATTCTAGAACTAAGGGCAATGGCTTGAAACTTAAAGTAAGTAACTTAGAGAAACAAAGCTATCCTACTTCATATCGCATTGACTACCTCCTCAACGAGGATAGGCATGAGTGCTTTTTTTTTTTTTGTAAACCTTCTTTGTAATTGGTCATTGTTAACTTAGATCACAATTTCATTCAGCAACCATGCTATGACTGTGGCTGGGTTCTCAGAACAGTTCCTTCGAATCTACTATAAGAACTCTGCTTTTGGAATCTGACTCAGCTGAGTTTTAGCCAGGTCGCTGTCACTTACCCGGCATTGCAACCTTAGGCAGATTCTAAACTTGGCAGAGTTTGGATTGCCTTTGTCATGCAATGAAAGTAATGAGAGCATCTACATCACAAGACTGCTATGACAATTCAGCTGAGTATGCATGCGAGGTGCTTACCATGTTACTCATGTCACCACAGTACCCCACAAATAATAGGTCATGTCTTCATAATGTATATCATGTCACATTCTCTCATTATCGTAAAAATGAAGGATAAAATGTTACATATGAAATATATTATATTCTACATAAATTTGTGTGTACAGGACAATTTTTAAAATTCAACTTCCAGATTGCACACATTTGTGCAACATGATTAAGATCTCACCATGTTTTGAGGTGGGTATTCTTAAGTACGGATGAGGTCACTCCAGTATTAGTATTTTGGGGTGGCCACTGGAGGTTGTAGCTAGAGCCTTGCAAGTGTTCTACCTCTGAGTTACATGCCCAACTTTCTTATAATTTTTTGAGACAGAGTCTCACTAAGTCCTCTAGACAGGTCTTGAACTTGTGATCCTGCTGCCTTAGTAGCTAAGATTACAGGCAAGAGCTTCAACTTTAGCTCTGTCCATTTCTTCATCTTTTAAAATAAAGTCTTTTGACCTTCATCATCTTAAAAGAAACACATGTTTGCCACTAATAGTGAAGAAGGATAAGAAGAAAGAAGAAGTAGAAGGAGGAGGAGGAGGAGGAGAACCATTCATAGATCTACTAAGCAGAGATAATGTCTTGATATTTGTATATCCTACCTTCTGTTCTTGGTAGGTTTTATCACTAGGTTCTTTCTGGTTCTCAGGGTATATTATCTTGATTCTGAGTAAAATCAAGACATATTTGTTTTTTTTAATATTTATTTATTATTATGTTTACAATATTCTGTCTGTGTGTATGTCTGCAGGTCAGAAGAGGGCACCAGACCTCATTACAGATGGTTGTGAGCCACCATGTGGTTGCCAGGAATTGAACTCAGGACCTTTGGAAGAGCAGGCAATGCTCTTAACCACTGAGCCATCTCTCCAGCCCAAGACATATTTGTTTTAAGAGGAATCTTAGAATAATGAAATAGAAGCTGGAGGTGTTGTTTGGTGGCAAAGCACCCGCCTAGTACCATAAAACAGCTGACTCTTAAATAATCCCCTAGCCTTGTGTGGCAGCAAGCTATCTGTCCTTCAGAGAACTAAGAGCAGGTCTCTAGCACAAACAGTACCCTGGTTAATTCCCTCAGAGCCCCAAAGGATACTGTTAGAGTACATCATTACTTTATGCAAAATCTCCACATTACCATGGGAAAATAAGTCTTGGTTTCCAAGAAAAACTTGGACTTTTGAAAATAAATGTAGTCATCTAACTTTTGAAGGCAGAAAAAAGACTGTAAACTGTTGGAGAGTCAATGAGGTATCAAGGGACAGTGACAACAGGTGATAATGTCCTCAGACACCACGGCAGCAGAGTGTGACAGTACTTTACCTCCTACGGATTTTGCTGTGCCTCTCTCATTTCTCCTCTTCTTTGTCTTTTCCTGTCATCTCTCCTCAAACTTGTTCTAGCATAGGAACTAAGCAGATTTCATTTATGTTTTCCTAAAGTCTTACAGCATCTTCATGCACATAATTTTAAAAGACAGTAAGTTGAATATGTCTAGTTGTCCTTTTAAAGAAAGACAGTTCAAACTAGATGGCAGGTTAATAGCTCAGATTTTTGTCTTTTCGTTGGTACTCTATGACAGTCAACAAAAGAATCTCTACCTGTGAATTAAGGCAAATTGTGACTGGAGAAATAATTTGACTTGAAAGGAATGTTCCTTGATTCTAATCACAATTTAATCATATATATATATATATATCATATATATATATTAATATATCATTGACATAGATAGACGAGTTTATGGCTCTCACTTGTGACAAACCCAACATTTGCTTATCGCAGTCTGCTTAGGAAAGGGTCTTTTTATTGAGGTTTCCACTTAGTGTATAAAATGTGGAGCTAAAGGATGGGGCTCCTTTGCATGAGCCATTTGGAAATATTGGAGCTGGGTGCATGTGATTTTCCCAAGAGGGAGTCTATCATTCCAGAGAGGGCATTCCATTTTCATAAGTGGAGGAGGGGGCTGCCTGCACTTTCTCACACCGATCTCCTTGGGCAGGCATCAAAGCAGTGCTAATTGGAAACCACTGCAAGTACAGTGCAGTCTTTCATCCCTAACTGCAGATCCTGAACTTTTTGATTATTATTAAGGTTCCTTTTTTCTTAATGTAAAGTAATATGAGCTCATTGTTTCATTTTGTTTGAATTTAAAAAGAGAGAAAAGCACAAAACCCAAACTAACTCATATTGGAATGGTGTGAGATCATGCCTAATTCTGATGGAAGGTGACGTTCCCACTTTTAACCTCGAACTACAACTTTCTGTCACCCCAGACACTAGCATCCTTCCTCTCTTCCCATCCCCTTTGTTTGGAACAGCATCCTTTCTCTCCTTTATCTGTTGAATTCCTGCTCATCTCTTAGTATGAGTTCAAAAGTGACCTGATCCAAGTAGCCTTTCCTGATACTCCCAGGAATGCTGCTAAGTTTTCCACCCGTGACACTGACAGTCTTTTGTGAATAGCTCTGTCAGGCAATGCAAATTCCATAGACAATATTATTTATTTATGTCTGTCTCTTTGACTGGACTGGGTAGGGGCCTTCTTCTCATCAGACTCTTAGGCAATGCTGAGCATAAAGACAGGTTTGGCAACTTTTGGCTGTAAAGTCCTATGTGGGGGTAAGATAACATCTATCAGACCAGAGACTCAATTATTGACACAGTCAAGATATATTTGGCTGCTTCCGTCGGAGGCTGGAAGATACTCCTGCACTTAAAAGACTGCCTAGCAAAAGTTAAAGAGCAGTGGTTTGAGAGATCAGCTTGCACTTTTTTTCCTCTATATAACTTATTAGTGTTACTTAATCCATTGCCCCCTCAGACTAAGTCACAGGGGAATGACAGGAAGCAGGAGGCTACAATACTTAGAGGGCCTCCAGTAAGTGAAGGGACTGTAAATTTATCACAGGTTAGAAGGTGGGCCCGAAGCTTCATGGGTAGGTGCTGGGTGACTATTCAACAACCAATTATGGATTTAAAAGGGAAAGATTACTCACATGTTCTACCAAACAGTATCTAGGATATGAAAAGGACCAGGTATACAGTATCACAAGTGAAGTGATGGAGACATTCAGGAGAGCAAAAGGAGAGACTGACAACCCAAATGTACGAAAAATCCTAGAGGTAGAAAGGCCTGTGGTGATCATATTGCTTCTGTTCTGATGTACTCTGAGTGCATGGAATTCTGCTGTCAGTGCTCTAAATTCCACAACAGATATTTTCAATATGTGTTCCTTAAAAATAAAAAACCATGCATCCCATATACAGACCACTGGTCAAGTATAAAATTGCCTTTAAATGGAGCTAAGCTAGTTCTAAAACTCGTTGTGTGTTGCAAAGTACCCAGTTGGGGGCAGCCAAAACAAACAGATGATTTCTGAACGCTTCCAAAGGAAACCTGTGTTTCTTTGTGTGCTGTTACTTTAATAAAGAAAAGAGCTTTTCAATTTATAATCAAACTCAGACAGCTTGCTTGGAAGCTGAGTACTACATTGAGTGCTACAAGAGCATTCCTTTCCAATTTCTGTTTGTAACCACTGATAGATCTTGGGCACGGGTGCTGAAGTTGATAGATGCACACATCCGTTTTTCTCGAGGGTGTGAAAGGCTGTACCGTGAGGAATGTATAAAGGCATCAGAGTTCTTTCCAAAGAGACCCTTTCAATAGCATTCCCCCCAAAGAATCCTGCCATTCACTCAAATCTACAGCTTTTTGTCATTTTCCTTTACTATCATTTCATTTATTTGGAAGTTGTCTAACAGGTTCAAAAATACCTTTAAACAAAATAGCATATCTGAACCCCCAGAGGCAAACACCCCCTTTATCAATTTCTTCTTTCATTCGAAGATCAGCATCCAGATCAACAGGTATCCCCAGGAAAGTAAACAGGAACAGGTCACACATAGCCCAGACTAGACAGAAGCCATGCAGTGGGGGCTTTCATCAACACAGTTATAACTGTGTCTGGATTGACAAGTTAATTTCATTTAATTTTTAACCTTTAACTGATACATAAAAATTGTACATAGCAACAGGGCAATTTCAAGACGGGGCTGCTTTACTGTGTTTATTTTAAGAAAGTTCTATATGTGACAGTTGTAAATTACTAAACCATTTCTTCTGTGAAGCCGTTCCTAAAGATGTACTCAGTGGAGGGTCTGTCCTGTATGCTGCTTCTGTACTCGGAAAATTCTTTAGCTTTTGTTTATAGTTAAGTCTATTTCCACTAGATTGACCTAGAGACTGTGTCTCTGTGTTTTCACTGTCCACCGAACATGGTAGCACTACTGGGTGTCCGAGAATTGACTGTCAAGAGGAATAATGATAGATCCATGTATATATAATTCATTCTAGTCAAATATGGGAGAGTTTCTACAATTAAAAACCGACGCCCTGCACAGACTGAAGTGAATTTGTCAAGTGGTGCAGAGGACCAAGAATGATAAAACAGGAAAACAATGGACCATGAAAAGAAAAGGGCACAGTCGCTAGATGGCTGTGCACAATGGCGGATGCTTTTAATCCCAGCACTCAAGGTGCAGAAGCAGGGGGATTTCTGCGACTTTGAGGCAAGCCTGGTTTACACAATGAGTTCCAGGGCAGCAAGGAATATATAGAAAGCCTCCATCTCGAAAGCCAAAACCAAAACCAAAACAACAACAACAAAAGAAACAAAAACAAGCAAAAAGAATAGCCTACATCTAAGATGTTACTCATATTAATTTTCTACCTGTGGGGCAGTCCCTCAAAACTCCCTAAAATTCAATAAGAACGACAAAAAGAAAAGAACAAAAGACGAATACCTACCAGTTCTGAAATTGGGTTGGTGACACGTGTAACTCTTTGGGTAACACGATTCTCTCAAGAGTTGTGTTAGGCTTCTCACATGATTATTACCTCATAACTATAACCTAGCAGCTAGAATAGGGCTGGAGGGAGCCAGAGTAGGCGTAGGGGTGGCTGGGGATAAAGGAAATTAGAACCTGCCTTTCGGCCCTTGGCTGCTGTTTCAAGAACTCAGAAACATACACTCAGTTTTATGTAAAACGTGTCATGTGAGCACTTTGGGAATGTCTTGCTAACCCTGTCTTTGGTGAACTCACTGCTGTAATAATGAGAATAATTGCAAGCCAGATCAATAAATTATAAGAGTTTCTTATGGGGCTGGAGAGATAGTTCAGTGGTTAAGAACATTGGCTGCTCTTCCAGAAGTCCTGAATACAGTTCCCATCAACCACATAATGGCTCACAAACATCCCTAATGAGATCTGGTGCCCTCTTTTGGCCTGCAGACATACATGCAGACAAAACACTGCATATGTAATAGATAGATAGATAGATAGATAGATAGATAGATAGATAGATAGATAGATAGATAATTCCCTTGAAGCAGAAAATATTTTATTTAAACAATAAGGGGTCCTGAATAGAGAAGTTCATTCTACCCTGTGTTGCTGAACTACCTACTTATACCTAGAAATTTTACACTTAAATATGGCTTAGTTATAGTATCATTTTTCTTTAACACAGACAAATTATAGATTTTAATTAAACATTCTACTAAGAAGAACTAAACAACATGTATGTAAGAAACTTTGCTCCACTGATTTTTGGCCTGAAAACACAATGGCTAATTGTATGTTGAAATGGAAGGGGAAAAAATTCTCTCACCTTCTGCGGCTGGATAAGGTTTCTTCATATTCTACATGAGCAACTTTTAATACCTTCTTGTCAATGAACAGATCTTCAGGGTAATAAGCAGATCTATATTGGCGTTGCTGAGAGTGGGCACACAACTTGCCGATCTGAAAAAAAAGAAATGCAATATAATAGTACAGGGTTTCCACAGATATGATGGCAGAAACAGATTGGCGTTGCATTGCAATTTCCTCCCTCAATTTCCTTTCAAAGAGCAGAAGAGTCATTAATAGAGTCAAAACAGGTAATAATGTTTTAAGGCAAAGAACCGGAAGTAGAAAGGAGGGCAGAGACTAATGAGGAGTTCTGTCCCTGTTCTGAATACAGTCTACCCAGACTCTTAAGACGAAAGGGAAAACATTGGAGAGGCCTCTATACACAGGCCTTCCTCTAGTGATATCTTTCCCTGGCTCTTGCTGTTTGCATGTATGTAGAAGTTCACAAAAGGCAATTTAGAAACATGAGACAATCTGATATAGGAGCTGGAGTGGTTTGAGAGGTGGTGCTGAGTAGCCGTTGATAGAAGAGCAGCCTCCCATACACAGAGTGCATCCCGTTCTTAAGTGTGTTTTTACTAGGCTCAAAGTCTTTTGGAAAAAAAAATGTCAGCATAGTTGCTCATCTGGATTTCCTAAAAAGACCCGAAGGAAAGCAAGCACCTCACCCACCCTATAGTCAGTGTCATCAGAGGAACCAACTAAATAATTGTAGGATTGTATGGAGAGAGCACAGGCACTGAAGATAGCCAGGCTTCCTCCCCCTTTCTATTCTATTACTTCTCATGCATCCATTCAAGAACATTTATCAGATACCTCTTTCACACCCATATGGTAAAGATTTTTTTTAAATACCAACTTGCTTGCCTAGCTCCATTCTAACTTATTTCTGTGGTTAAATTATTTGCAGATTAATGCCTAACGCAACTTCCACATAGATGTACATATAAATAAGTGTGAATATTAACTTTATGATATGGCTCTTTGTGCCAGACACTATGTTAAATACACTACATTACAGATTTAAAAAAAACGGCAAGGCTTGAGGAGGTTAAGAGACTTGCCTAAAGCAAACAGACAATAGATCAACTTGATTATCTTTGAACCCAGTATTCTAGCTACAAATCTTAAGACAATTCCACCTCCTTTGGACACGATGCCTGCTTTTCATCTCAATAACGTATCACCAACAAAGATAGCTCAAGTGAATAAGTAGACTGAAAAGTTCAGGGACAGTAGTGGCAACATCTGGTGAAGACAGGGGTCGTATGTGTGTCACTCCTATACCTCCACACAGTTTAGAGTAGGCTTTATACAATGCTGGGAAATTAATGGAAGTGAATTGAAGGAATTTTCTATTACAGTACCGGGTCCCAAATGTCAGTCTATCAATAAGCCATTGACGCCATGTGGTCATCTCACTTCTAGATGTTTCAAGATGGCCCAATAGCACTTCCTGGCTTATCTATGTATGCGTAGAGGCATGCATGCCATTTAGTCTGCACAGCTTTGGCAGGCTTCCCATGAAAATTCTTGATGTAGAAATCATCTTAAATGAGCAGCAGCATCACCCTCACTTACGAAAGACAGTGCCCATCATTTCATGTTCAAACTAGCCATCCTCAATCATTTATTCTAACACAGGCAAAGAATGAAGACCCTGGAAAACATTCCATCTAACTTTGGAATGCAAGATAATGACATTTTCACACGGGCCTATGCCATGCTATATGACCTGGGCTAATTCTAACTTCACATAAAGAACCATTTTTCTCTGAAACCATCCTACCTGGGACAGGTTTTTTTTTTTTTTTGGTAGGGTGTGTCAGGTTAGGGGCTGCCTAGTTGTACACTTCCAAAGCATATAATGCAGACAGAAATAACTGGTAGACTACACTGTAACTTTATATCCATAGGCTAATACACATTTATTATTATTTTTTAAAAATGTAGGTAAATTTAAGATAATAAATATTATTTGTTTTCTTTAAGTGCCTATATATTATGACATGAGCATATATCAATGTGACGGTCTGTTTTGCAAGGTTTAAAATATTATCACATTCAGGGGTACAGGCCACATTCTCTTTTCATACCTGTCCTACATACAATACCCAAATAAAAATCTATCACAGCATGTTATCTAGTTGAAAAACATAGCTGTCAGCCTGGTCTACAAGAGCTAGTTCAGGATAGGTTTCAAAAGCTACAGAGAAACCCTGTCTCGAATAAACCAAAAAAAAAAAAAAAGAAAGGAAGGAAAAAGAAAAATATAGCTATAAGATGACCTTTCCCATGAAAAATCGACCCATTGTATCAGCGAATTCTTATTGGACCAGAACATATCTTTAAATATTTGCTCCCATCCCCTATTCCAGCTTAGTAGGAAGTGGAGTAGCTGAATGAAAAGTAGGAAGGTTAAGGACAAAGGACAATCTAGCCACTTAGTAGTCTGATCTTCCTTCCCAAGTCCCAAAGTGGCATTATCAAGAAGACTTTTCAAGGCACTGTGTGGGGTAAAAGACAAATGATGGAGTTTTGCTAACACCTTCCCCTCCTATTTCAGATGGGCCATGCCTTATTGGACAGGCTGTATTTTCTCTCACCCGTCTACCATGAAGCCAATTCTCTCACACAAAGCGCTTCTCAGAGGTAGCCCGCCTCCACTTAGGAGCCTCTCAACACATCTTTCACCCCCACACTCAAATATGGAAGCAAATAGCATGAGCTTATTTTGAGACCAGACACTAAGAGAAAGCATCATTTACAGAGATGTGGTCTTCCCACTGAAGACACCTTTCAGCTTCTCACTTGAGAAGCCTTACAGTCTGCTGCAGGACCGTAGTCTCTTTCTTCAGCTGCACTCACTAAAGAAGTCAGACTCTCAAGTGGTGTTTTTGAAATCAGTAGCCTGCCCAGGAGTTTTAAACTCTTAAATAAGGAATGCAATCCAATTTCCTTTCATAGAGTAATGTACCTGGTCAAGAATGCTGCCACCTTTAAATTTGGTTAGTTGGAATAAATTTATTAGATATGTGGGTGTCTCTATCAAAAGACTAGGAATTTAAAACCTTTGTTTTTTCTGAACCATAATTCCTAATGATGCCTTTATGTATGTACCAGAAAGAGGACAGGAAAAGCAGCAGCACTCTGGAGGGTTCCAAGGCCTGACAACTAAGAAGATATTGCCTACGGGTACAGTCCAGGCAGCAAGTCATTCCAGCCATCTTAGCACCATTTCTCTCCAACAGAGTCTAGATGTATTGTCTTCATGTATACAGGAGACAAATGAATTATCCGAGCATCAGGAGACGGGGCCTACTAGTTGCCTTTTTCTGCTTAAATCATAACTGTACATACTTGTGAAATACACTGATGCTTCAACACATGTTCATAACATCCAGGTATGAAAGAAGGCAGCCAGCACACCTGTCATTTCAAACGCCTGTCCTTTTTGTGCTGGCAACATTTAGGACTCTCCTTTTGAAAAATTCATTTATCTGTATGTGTGAGTGTATGAGCCCACGTACATGTGAGCTACATAGATTGTGTGCAGGATCAAATTCAGATTGGGCTCTGTGATAAGTGCCTCTGCTTGCTATATGATCTCACTGGAGCAAGACTCTCTTTTCTATCTATTTTTTGTATCGGAATATGCAGTAAGTTGTTACTTACAGGCACTCTTCTGTAATTAACTTTTCTTTCTAACTGTATTTTTATGCCTGTTAAGTAGCTTCTCTCTGTCGCCTTCCCTCCCTTCAACTCCCCTCAGCCTTCAAGATCACTACCTAAAGGATCAACATTTCAAAGTTCCTACATATGAGAGGCATTACATGATATTTGTGTTTCTTCTGCTCATGGCTTATTTCACTTAACGCAATGTTATTCATGTTCATTCATGTACAGCCCCATTCCTACCTCTTACCCACAAAAGTACTTTGTTTTCTCTTGGTGCCATGGTTTCACTTTACCTGCCACTATAGCCTTATATGAAGGAAGAATAAAGAAGATTTGAATTGCCATATTTTATTCAAGGTTCCCTTGAAAATAAAAGGTAAAAATTATTTTCTTAGAAGATAACTATATTACCACGAGAGGATTTAATTACACATTGCTAGAGTCATAATGATAAATATATAATAAAAGACAGCTTGAGGACAAAAGCACGCAGTATGAATACACTTGGGGGGAAAATAACAAGTCTTTTTGTGAAGATTCTTTGCTGTATCTGTTTCTTTGGAGGCGAGGCTATCTTCTTCTGTGGGCATATAGTATGTGCCGCTCACATAAATGCCATCATGTATTTCATGTGTGAGTCACCTCGGCTTTACAGCTTTAGGAGAGAAAGCTTTCCAGATTTTATGACCCATTTCATCAGAAAAAGGGTCAGGAGAAAGTGTGATTGACCTTCCTGTTGTTGTTATTTTCTTAAGTGACAGCTTTATCATTATGAAAGGATGTTTTTAATGATTTACTGCTGTAATTATTATTTATGTAGCTATTTGTGTGCATCATGTGGGTACGAGCACATGAATGCTGCTAATCACAGAGGTCAGAAAAGAGGTCGGATCCACCGAGGCTGGAGTTTCAGGGGGTTGTGAGCCACCCAGCGTAGGCACTGGGAACGTATCTGAAAGAGCAGCATGTGCTCTTGGTTGCCCCTTGTCACTATGAAAGGTTTGAAAACCAGGCAAAATATTTGGTTTTATGTAATTCATACGTGCACCATTTAGTTGATATGTCAAGAAATGTAAATATTACCTTGGTTAAAATCTAAGACTATTCTTTCTCATGTAGGTCTGGTTCCTTTATTGACTTTTGGCTTTTGGAAGCTCCTCAGACTTGATCTTTTGTTCTGGGTGGCCAAGCGAAGGAAGACAGCAAGTATTGTAACTTTCCCAACAATATTAAACCTCATGTTCAGAAGAAGAATATTTTACTCCAGCCCCACGTTTCACATATAACTATACATCTGTCTCCATTCTCCTTGGGGAGTTCAAAGCACATATCATCAATCTCTTTTTGCAGATTAAGAAAGAGACCCATGAATGTTGAAAACCTAAAGCAAGGTCACAGTTTTAATAAGGGACAGAGCTGGAACTTTGACACTG